TCTATGTTCTGATTTCAGCACTCCAGGTTTGCAAACTGTATCTCTGGTGTGTGCACAACAAACTTTTACTAATTACTACATCAGTTATTCATTGGTTTTACTCTGGCTATTTTGAACCTTTGACAATATCAAAGAACATGATTTTCCAGAAGTGAAAAAAGCACAATAAATTCAATAGGTGACATTAACAGTAGGCTAACCTTGTTAAAAATTAGTGAAGAAAGAGAGATTAGAAGAAAATATCCTGAATGAAGCATGAAGAGGATAAGAAACTGAGAGGGTCTAATATGCTTTCAATGGATTCTGAAAAGGGGGTGGTAGGCAGGCAGCAGAAATACTTTAAAAGATGGTGCCTACACACTTTTCAAAAGAATGAAAAGAACTTCAGTACAGATTTAATTGCACCTACAAAAACAAAATATACATAAAAATATATACCTAGACACATCATAGCAAAACTGTTGAAAACCAAAGATTAAAAAAAAAAAAAAAACCTTAAAAGGAGGAGAAATCAGAGAGGGGGACAAACCATGAGAGACTATGGACCCTGGGAAACAAAATGAGGGTTTCAGAGGGGAGGGGGGCGGGAGGATGGGGTAACTGGGTGACGAGCATTAAGGAGGGCACGTGTTGTGATGAGCACTGGGTGTTATATGCAACTAATGAATCACTGAACACTACATCAAAAACTAATGATCTATACTATCCAGTGGCTAACTGAACATAATAAAAAATAAAAATTAAAAAAAAAAAAAAAAGACAAATTCCAGGCGCCTGGGTGGCTCAGTTGGTTAAGAGTCTGCCTTCAGTTCAGGTCATGATCCCAGAGTCCTGGGTTCGAGTCCCACATCAGGCTCCCTGCTCAGCAGGGAGCCTGCTTCTCCCTCTCCCTCTGCCTGCTCCCCCTGCTTGTGCTCTCACTCTCTGTCAAATAAATAAATTAGATCTTAAAAAAAAAAGACAAATTCCACTCATGGGAGTAAATATTAAACTGACAGCTTACTTCTCATAGAGAGAATAGAAACCGAATATGTAATTCAGGAACTTCTTTCAACACCTTAGAAGAAAACCAACAATTTAGGCAATTCAATACACATCAAAATTATCCCTCGAAAAGAAACCAATTTGTGAAATTTTTAGCTAACATAATCAGAGAATTCACTATTAGCAGTCATTCAACAGGTGAGAAACACAAAGAGTGTTCTTCAGGCAGAAGGACAATGTTCAAAGCTGGAGGACCAGAATTACAGCAATGAATGAAAAACAATGAAAAGGGTAAATCTAAATGGTTATTGATTATACAAATTAATAATGTCTTAAATAAAATAGATACAGAATTAAAGGAGCACAACAGTGGCATATAAGTGAAAATGAGATAAATGAAGTTTAAGTGCCCAGGAAGAGAGGGAAATAACCAAATATTACATTTTGAGAAGTCAAAAACAAGTGTTTTAAATAACTTCCAAGTTAACAACAACAACAACAAAAAGCATCCAAAGAAAAACAAAAAAGGAGAGAAAAAAAGCCATTAAGCAGGTATAATAAAGAGAAAATACTTAAAATTTACACCCAACTATGTCAATGATTTTGTTAAGTGACAACAGACCAAGTGTTCCAAATGTTAAGAAACATTGTCAGGCTAGATTGTTTAAATTCCAATGATACACTGTTGACAACAGACTCATTCAAAATGTAAGTACACAGAAAGTATGAAAATAAAGAGTAAAAAAAGACATACATTACATACATTAACCAGAGAAAAGACAGTGCAGCTATATTAATATAGAGCTAAACAAACTTTGTCCTAACTATACATTTGTCTTAAAGAGGAACACTTAATAATTTTTAAAAACTCAACTGATGAGGAAGACCTACAACTCTAAACATATATGCACCTAAGAACATATGCTCAAAATATTTAAAGCAAAAACTATCAAAACTAAGGAGGAACAAATGCAAGATCGCAGTATTAATACATTTCTGTTGCTAAGCAATACAACCAGTAGACTAAAAGGAAAAACTAATAAGGATGTTAAATTCAACATGACTAACCAAGCTGAGCTAGCATATATAGACACTGCATCCAAAAAATACATAAGCACATTCTTTCCAAGCACACACTGGACATTTACAAATATTCATATGTTGGGCCATAAAGCAAGTTTCAAAAATTTCAAAAGCTTTTAAATAGTGTTTTGACCACAACAGAATTAAGATAGAAATATAGGCAGAGGGGCGCCTGGGTGGCTCAGCAGGTTAAGTGTCTGCCTTCAGCTCACATCATAATCCCAGAGTCCTGGGATCGAGCCCCACATCGGGCTCCCTGCTCAGCAGGGAGTCTGCTTCTCCCTCTGCCCTTCGCCATGCTCATGCGCTCTCTCCCTCTCTCTCCCATAAATAAATCTTAAAATATACATATATATATATAGGCAAAGCAGAGACGATTCTTAGAGCAGTGAAACCACTGTGTATGACGCTATAATGGTGGATACATACCACATATTTATCAAAACTCACAGAATATACACCAACAACAGTAAATACATAAAACTATGGACTTAGAATGGTGATGACATGTCAACAAAGGTTCAGTGACTGTAACAAACAAATGTAGAATCTGGTGCAGGATGTTGATTATGGGGGAGGCTAGAGGGGATGGTGAGGGGATCAGGAGGTAGAAGAGACTCTGTACTTTCTGCTCAATTTTGCTGTGAACTTAAAACTGCTCTTAAAAATAAAGTATTTTTAAAAAAGATTTATCTGTCAGGTTATATTAAATATGCTTTAGTTACAAACCCCAGAAATCTTAGTTAAGAAAACTTAACCCAAAATACTTCCCACTTCCCACCCCTACCCTCCCACTTCTCTTCTTTTCTCCACCCCACCCCTCCTGCACCTCCCTCTGCTTTCTGCTCACTGTAGACACATAAAAGCCCGGCACTGCAGGAAGCTCCATCTGGAAACATGATCACTGGCAGGAGGAAGGGGATGTGGCAAATCTCACCACTGCTCTTAAAGTTTATGTGACAAGTCTCTTCTGCTCGCATTTCACTGACCAAGATAAATACATGGCCACATCTAACTCAGGAAGCAGGAACCAGATACTACCACACACCCACTGTAATATCTAAAATGTTTACAAAGACCAACAATACCAAGTATCGATGAGAATGTAGAACCACAAGAATGTATTTACTGTAGTAGGAATAGAAACTGGTATATCTACTTTGGAAAAGTTTGGCATTATCTACTAATATTGAACACAGACCTAATATATGACCCAGCAATTCTACTCCTAAGTGTACTGAACACAAAAGTATGCAAGAAACATGCACCTGAAAGTTCACAGCAAGTCCACTCATGTGAGCCCGGTGACAGCCATGAAAATGAGCCTCTTGGATCACCGACCATGGAGAGATGCTCCACTCTGAACTCACCAACACACTCCACACCAGCACCACACTTCCCACAGGCTGTTTCTAGCCAATGACCAGCCACAGGCAGAATACTAAACCAGGCTTATTCCTGCAGGACAAGGGACTCCCGTGACTCCCAACTCTGGCTAGAAGGCTCCTCACTGGCTTTGCTTATTAAACTTTCTTAGAACTGCACTGCGGTCATCAAACTTTGTCTCCCAAACATTCTTCAGCCCTTCCTCCTCCACATGCAGCAGACCTCCAAGGTGATGACAACGCCCACACATGTATTTCCCCCACTACATCTAAGTCTGATCCAAACTTGGGATGCCTGGGTGGCTCAGTTGGTTAAGCATCTGCCTTCAGCTCAGGACACGATCCTAGGGTTCTGGGGTCAAGCCCCACATCGGGCTCCCTGCTCAGTGGGGAGTCTGCTTCTCCCTCTCCCTCTGCCCCTTCCCCCTCTGCCTGTGTTCTCTCAAATAAGATCTTTTAAACAAACAAACACACCTGATCCAAATTTGTTGTCCTCTGGTTCTTGGGAGACCTGAACTAACAGTCTCAAACTGGGAACATCCCAATTTTTATCAACAAGAGAATGAAAACCCATGAATAGTACAATTCATACATGAAACTACAACTCTAGTGACCACATAAATGAAATTCACGATGAATAGTTCCACAATTAGTATGTCACAGACCATGAATGTGCCACTACCTCTATACATTTCACACATATACACACACACACAAAACAAAGAAAAAGCAAGACTCTGAAGTCAACAGTCCTCAAACAGAGGGTAGATCTACTATTAATGCAGATTAAGCTATTTAGAGCCAATTGTTACTATGTTAGCCAGAGCCCTCCTCTTGCCCTCCTCCAACCGCCCACCCCCAGAATTAACCAATTAGAAAAGACTGCTGTGACTCTAACATACTATTATGCAAATACTTAAAGCATAGATACAAAGACATACAAACATCTTAAAACACACACAGAACATAATTCTATAACTTGCTTCTTACTAAATATTTTGTTTCCCACAGAGTATAGTAAAATTTTCCTCTTATTTGTAATAGTGACAAGACATTCCAGCGTATCGATAAAAAATTCACTTATTTTGCCCTAACCCCAATATTGGACAGGTATTTCAAATTTGTCATATCACAAATACTACTATCATGAAAAATCTTACAAATACAGATTTACAAACTCATACAAATGCATCTATACAACAAATTCCTATCAGTGGAACTGCTAAGCCAAACATATGGACATTTAAAAATGTCTAAATATAGGAGCACCTGAGTGGCTCAGTCGGTTAAGTGTCGGACTCTTGCTTTCTGCTCAGATCATGATCTCAGGGTCCTGGGATCAACTCCTGTGTCAAGCTCTGCACTCAGCAGGGAGTCTGCTAGAGATTCTCTCCCTCTGCCCCTCCCCTACTCTCTCTCTAAAATAAAATCTTTTTTTGAAAAGTATCTAAATGCAATGAAACTACTTTCCAACAAGGTTCTACCAAACTACAATTTATTGAGAAACTATATATACTTTAGGTGAATCTTACTTTATTAGACTGATACCTTAGAAATTATGAAAAGTGGGCTGCCTGGGTGGCTCTGTCAGTTAAGCATCTGCCTTCAGCTCAGGTCATGATCCCAGGTCCTCGAATCCAGTCCCACATCAGGTTCCTTGCTCAGTGGGGAGTCTCTGCTTCTCCCTCTGCCTGCTACTCCCCCTGCTTGTGCTCTTTCTCTCTGTGACAAATAAATAAATAATCTTTAAGAAAAAAAATTATGAAAAGTAATTATAAATGGAAGCACATAGGATCACTTCTGTCTTTCACTGAGTCAGTTTAAAGGAAAAACTTTACAGAATTAAACAATACCGGGGTAAACCAAAGAAATTACTGGTAGATGCAACCCAAACATTAATTCTAAATTAAAACAAGACCATTCCAGGGCACCTGGGTGGCTCAAGGCAGTTGAGCCGTCCAACTCTTGATTTCAGCTCAGGTCATGATCTCAGGGTCGCAGGATGCAGCCCCATGTTGGGCTCCATGATCAGCTGGGGGGGGGGGGGGGGGAGTCTGCTGGAGATTGTCTCTCCCTCTCCCCCTGCTTGCTCGCTCGCTCTGTCTAGAAAAATAAATAGATCTTTAAAAAAAATAATATGGGACACTTGGGTGGTTAAGCGTCTGCCTTTGGCTCAGGTTATGATCCTGCTCAGCGGGGAGTCTGCTTCTTCTGCCCCTCACCCCACTCACGCTCTCTCTCAAATAAATAAAAAAGGCTTTAAAAAAAATAATAAAAGAAAAGAAAACAAGACCATTCCACAGACATGCCACCCCAGGAGCCAACTATCATCACTGCATTTACGGATCCTGCAGTTCCCACTGAGAAGAGTGACCAGAGCTCTGTAGGATACTGGGGCTCCCTTTGCAACTGCAATATAAGGCATAACCTCTGAATCCTCCCAGGATGGGTGAGCAGGTCTTTCACAACAAAGCCACTCCAACATTCCAATCTCCCTAAGCCTTCCTCCATTATATACCAAGACAGTTCTGTCATCTCAGCTTTGCTTAGACAGACGGCCTTTGATTTGTTTAAGGCAATCAACCAGCACTCTAATCCCTTGAGCTATAAAACTGATCCAGAATGCCCACTTATAAGCCCATATCAACAAATTCAGCCTAACCCACCTTCGTGTCCCTTCCACCACTATCAAACACCCTTAAGATCCATTCCCACAAATATCCCCCAGGTCCTACCTATACAGTGGCAAACCAGACGATCTTTTGGATCTCATGAGACACACTCTCTATACCTCCTACTTTGGGGCCCGCTGGGACGATCCTTGGGGAAGAGTAGGCAATTACAGGTTTGCCACGCAAAGGAGATTAAGTTCCTCACGCAGGGGTTGGAAAAGCTGTGTCTACTGGCAAAGGTAGCACAGCAGAATTTAGGTCTCCAGCTTAACTGGAATCTGACCATACGTTTCCTAATCCAATTTTTACAATTCCACTCCTTATCAATCAATGCTCTTGCTTACAAATTGGGAATTCAATTTGCATTTTTTAGGGCAGTCGCAGAAACTTTCAGGTCCCTTATGTGGAACCCCAGTTGGCATTTAAAACCCTGAGCTCATCATTTCGCTTTGTAATGTTTTAACTTGGCTAGATGGAACCAATTCCCCAGAACGTCCTTTCCCGGTTGGTTCTGGTTTGGGCCACAAGGGGGCTCTGGTACAGCGGGCGGAGGGGGCAGCACGTGTGGCAGCACATGTGCAGCCTGCATCCGCGGGCCTTCTGGGTCCCCTCACTGCGCCAGGCAGGGCTGGCCTTGCAAGGCTGCTGCACTGGCCCATCTTTTCCCCAGGCTCCCTGAGAGTCCTACCTCCTGACCGTGTGTGTGGTCAGCTCCAAGACCAAAGTCAGAGGCAAGCGAACGGACGCAACTTTCAGTTTGTCCCATACAGCAGACCAGACATAACTACACAGCATCCATCTCTCTCCTTAGACAACTGCCCAGGAGGGTTTGAGCACTCAACAACCCAGGCACCGAGCTGAGAATTAGAAAAGTAATTATAGGCAAAAACAGGAAGAGTCTCTGCTTTCATGAAGCTCAACCTCCTAGAGAAAATGAAAATTCACTAAGTTACATTAATTTACGTTGTAATTTTGAAGTAACGGTAAGGACAGCAGTGTCTCTAACAGGAGAATTTGACTGCAGGGAAGTCAAGAAAAAACTCAAGAACTTCAGAAAATTGATGGCTGCTGTAGTGTGTGACGGATATACAAAGTTCTTTAGACCATTCTCTTTATCATGAAAATCTGCAAACTCACGCAGAAAGAATCTCATGAAAAACTGATGCTGGAGACAAACTCTAAGGGAAGGCTGGGAAGAACTGAAACAGGACCAAAAAACAAAACATTCCAGGCAGAGGAAACAGAACCAGTGCCGCATGCCCTGTGGAGAAGGTGCTAGGCACAGGAGGATGACAAACGCAAGGAAAACAAGGGCAGATGTGGTGTAAGGTGAGGCTGAGGCGCCAAAGGATAAAAATTATGTATGCCCTTGAGATCATGTTACTAAGTTCAGTACTTAAAGCCATTGAGAGCTTTAAGTAAAAGGGTGACATAATGAGATCCACCTTTTTAAACTCTAATTTTTTTACACTAAACAAATTTCAAACACAGTTATCTTTTACCCACGAATCTCACTGTGTTAAAGCTAAACGTGCACAAATACAAAAAAACATATCCACAAGGTTATTCCCCGCAGCAACATTTATAACAGCAATAGAATATAAACAATCTATGTTCATCATTAGGAAACTACAAGCACAAAAGAATGGAAAAAAGCTTATATAAAACAATCTCCAAAATATATTAAGTAAAAAAGAACAGTGTTGAGTTCTACCATCTGTTTAAAAACAAAAAGGAAATAAAAATATGTGTCCGTGCTTCTATTTGCAAAAATGAAACACTGGAAGAATAAACCAGAAATAAAAAGGGGGCACCATGGGAATGGTACAGGAGACAGCAATGGAAGGACTATGAACATACCTTTGTAACACAACTTTGACTTTTGAACTAGATATACATTTTAAATACTAAAACTTTAAAAAATACATTAAATAAAAAATTAATGCAATCCTTAAAACCTAAAGATTTCATATAAATAAACCAAATTAATAATTAAACTGGTAACAATCAGAAAGAAAATACTTTCAAATCATTTTATAATTTGGAACGTCAACAGTGCATTCTTACGTGGATGCATCTTAAGAACTTTTAAGAACGGAAGAACTGTAATGAAATACAAACCAATACTTTATTGTTACTGGTGTTTTCAAACATTTATATACTGCAGAACAAGGGAAGTAAAGTTGCAAAGAATGCAAATCTTCAACGTTAGACAAAAAAGGATGAACTCAAAGTAAAAACCCTCAATGGTAAATCTAAATTGAAAATATCGATACAAAATAAAATGTCATGTATTTCCCACATCTGTCCAATGAAAGTAGAGGCATCCCATTAGCAATACGGACACACTGCACCAGATTTTGGTATCTAAATTCCATCCCCCAGTAAAAGGAGCTAAAAGAACTGGCTGATCAGGAAAGCACAGTCTTAGACATCCAGTATCAGAAAGCAAGAAATGGTTCAAAGATTAATGGGGTGGCATCCAAGGGAAGACATCCAGCTTGAAGGGACTGCACCATGTCCAAGTGAGGGACAAGCTGAGGAAAAAGAATGAGGACTACTTGATTAAAACACACTGAATACACAAAAATCCTTGGGTTCACAGTGGTTTCAAAAGAGAAAAAAGCAAAAAGAAACTCAAAACAACCCAACCCTGTACACAGGAAAAAAGACATTCTGATCACTTGCCAGGACCCAGACTAATTAGTATTAACTAAGACATATGACTAGTATATATATAAACATACATTCACATATAAATCTATGAACACAGATTCATACATCTAGGACTATGGAATTCATTTATAGATAAAAACACGTAGGCCACAAACAGGTCCAAAAATTACACCTACACTGTTAAGGACAGAACTATAAGCAAACTGAGCAACTTATTATAAACAAATACAATCTAAGTTAAAAAAAAAAAAAAAGTTGTTCCACCTTTATTTTTATTTAAGCCATTTCTACACCCAACGTGGGGCTTGAACTCATGACCCCGAGATCAAGAGCCACATGCTCTTCCGACTGAACCAACCAGGCGTCCCTGTCTCATTTTTTTAAAGACATTACTACAGTCTAAAAATATCTAAAATGGGATAAAAAATGCTTTACTTGTCTCTTTATTTACACTGTCAACACTTGGATAAAACACCCATGTAGAACGGATCCTTCTCCCTCCACCCCTTCCGCCCCCAAAACTCAACACATTTAACATTCTAGTGACTCCAGACTCCCCTTGTCCCAGATGACTTCATCCATCACCTCCCACAGCCTGGACTAGAGATCCTGCTCCGGCAGATCTCTTCAGTGCACCTTTCATGCTGCTTAATGCCATCCAATGGCTTTCCCCACACACAGGATAAACACCAGCTGCCTTGATGGGGTATGCAGATTATGTAAAATCTGGTCCCAAATTCATGCTACACACACTGGCCATGCCAAACTACACGTGGTGTCAGCAGTGGTCATGTCATCATCACCATCATCGGTACCCACGGGGCACCTACCACAGAGCCCTAGGGGCTTACACTTGATGAGGTAGGTGTGCTCATCCTGTTCAACAGATAAACACACTCATAGAACTAAATGCTAAGATGGGGCAATCTTTGGTTGGGATTCAAATCCAGGACAGTCTCAAACACCCTCCACATGCCTCTGCTGCTGCTGCCCCTCCACCTGGACTTCTTTGCTCTCCTGCTCTACACTCTTGACCCTGCTGGAGCACTGCCTTCTCTTCCAGATGCCCTCAGCACGAATTCCCACATCACGTGCATGCATACCTTCCCTACCAGACTGTAAGGTCTACAAGGGCAAATCTTTATGTATTAGACGCATACACAGCTCGTTTTAGTAAGAACTTATGGCAATTTTAAAGCCATAAGCACCCAACAAAGAATTAAAAATTACACTGAATACCGGAGCACGACTAAACAAACTGTTCACCTCAACATTAAAAACATCATGCTAGTAAGTACAGCCAAGTTCAAAAGCAGGAAGAGAAGGAAATCAACAATGACTGGCAGTGGCGGTTGCATTTCAGGACTGCACTGGGAACCCTACAAATCCACTTAATTCTCACCATAGCCTCATGGGACACGTCTCCTCCCAGTTTACAGCTGAGAAATGGCAAGTCCACGAGGTGGGGGGGGAATCTGTTGTGTAGCTTCAGACCAGTATCGAGTGGGGCTGGACTTCCACCCAGACTCTCCAGAGCTGAAGGCCATGCCATCTCCATAGCCAACTCCAGAGCCCATAGCCTTTTCACAACACCATAATGTCTGCCAAATTAAACAAAATACTTGGGCAAAATAATTGATTCCCTCTTCCAAGTTCTTCTCATTGAAGGAACAAGGGGAAAAAAAAAACATTTAATTAAGCATCAATAAAGAGAAGGAAGTATTTATGTAGACATGTATTAACTGCTCTTTCTCAGCAAATCACGATCCTGCTAACAACTAAACCAGAATACTCAACAGCATTATTTTTAATCTGTAAATAACCCATGTGATGAATTCTTCGGAAACAATATCCTTACCACATATTTTTAATGTACCAGAAAAAACGCTAACAAGGAGTGCAGCAAGTCAAGTTACGAGCGTGTGGGCAATCGGGTGAAGTCACAGCGAAGTGAAAACATTGTAATTAAATTTCTCCACTTACAACTTTAAATTAAGAATTCTCCTATCTTAAGACTAAGCCAGATTTGAGATACCGTCCATGAGATGCACAGGCACTCACAAACCACACCAACCTCGCCGTTCACGATGAAGGCACAGGGTACCATTACCTAAGATGCACTGTGAGGACAGCAATGACCAACTTTTCATTGTTACCTGGATTTCACGGGTGCTGAAACAAAACAAAACAAAGGGAGATCTACAGCCAACTATGGAAACAGTACCGCAGTATTTCTCAGAGCTCTAAATTCGATGCACTGAACTCTGACCCTAAGGGAGGACAGAACACTGCACTGTTTCCCAAACTGAGGCGACCAAGGAACCCTTTGCTTTTCCCGTAGCATCTCTTAGAACTACCATCACAAAAACACCATCTTAAGCGACACCCCTTCAGATACTCCAAAACTAAGTAAGTACTGTTACCGTATTCCGATTTGGAAACTGGAGGTACTATCGGAGCAGTACCAGCGAGACTCCTAGGTTCAGACAAAGTCTTTGAAAAAAAATTCTAAGTCGAACATAAAGAACGAGAAGTCCTTTTCTTGCCCTACCACCACTTCGCACCATCTTAACATGACCTCGCGACTCAAGATGAAAAATAAACTGTATTTTCTCACCAGAAACTAAAACCGACTACCTGTAACTTTGACATCAGCCAACAGTGCGACCTTCCCTCGCCATCAAGTCTCGCAACGAACGCTGTCTGCTCCTGGCGATGCTGCCCATCAAGCAAGGCCGGGCAAAGCCGCCCCCTTCCCTCCGCCCCGGTCTGAAAGGGCACCACCTCGAAGGGCCTTCCCGGACGCGGCCCGCCCTGGAACACCCGAGCGCAGCTTGGTTTTCATTTCCTCACGAACGCGAGGCACAGGCAGCGACGGCCCTCTCCGTCCCCCCTTCCAGACTGCAGCGTTCCTTCCAGAAAATTCCACCAGAAGAAAGTTGCAGGTGCTGGCATGTCGGCAGGCCTGTGGCCCCCGGCCCCGGGCGCGGCCCCCGGCCGAGGGCGCCCTGCTCGCCCCCCGACGCACTCGCCAACACAGCCCGCAAGCCGCGTGCGCCGCCCCAACGCGCACGACTCCCCGTGCAGACCCGGGCCGAGCACACGCCACGCACGCCAGCGCGAGCCGCCCACCGCGCGGCCCCCGAAAGCGCGTCCGACGAGGCGCGCGGGGCCAGCCCGGGCGCCGCGCCAGCTTCCGCGTCGTGCGGCTCATCCCGGCGCCCCGGGCGCAGCGCGCTCAAGGTCACCCGGGATGCGGGGGCGCGCGGCGCGACGGGCAGACCCCGGCGGGGCAGCCGGCAGGCGCGCCCCGGGCCGCAGGGACGGAGGACTCCGGCCGCCCCGCCCGCCCCGCCCCCGCCGCCCCGCCCGGGGGTCCCGTCCCCCGCCCGCCCGGCGGCTTATGCAACGCTCCCGCGCCCCGCCCCCGCCGCCCCCCGCCCGCCGGCGCCCAGGCCTGCGGAACAAAGCGCGCGGGGCCCGCGGCCGGGCGGGCCGGGCGGCCGCCATGTTGGCGGGGGCGGCGAACAAAGGCGCGCGGCCCGAGCCCGAGGCCCCCCGCCCCGCGGCCCGGCCGGCAGGGGGCGCTGTGCAGGCGCCGCCCGCGCCCGGACAATGCGCCGCGGCCCGGCCGCCGCTCCCCGGGCGCCGCCGCCCCGCAGCGCGCCCCGCCCGCGCCCCTGCCCGCCCCCCGAGCGGCGCCCGTCCACCGCGGCGCGTGGGTCTCACCTGCCGGCCGCCCAGGCCGCCGTCCGCAGCCCGCGGGCCCCGCCGTCCCGCGCCGCACTCCCGCCCCGGCCCGACCGAGCCAGACGGCACCGCCCCGCCCCCGCTCCGCTCCGCGGCCGCCGCCGCCCGCCCCCGGCCGCACGGCGCACGCGCACTGCGCCCGCCGACTGCGCCGGCCGCGCCGCCCGGCCCCGGCCCGGCGGGCCGCACTGCGCACGCGCCGCAGGCAGCGGGTGGGGCCTGGCGGCAGGGCGGGGCCTGGCGCCCTGACCGGATCCCGCGACGCTCACCTGGAAGCGGGGCGGGGCCCGGCCCGGCGGTGGGAGAAGGCCTGCGAGCCCGGCTTGGCTGGACGCGGGGCCGGGCCCGGCGCGGCTCGGCGGCGGCGAGGCAGGTGGGGCGGGACGGAGGGCGACGGGGCCTGGCGGGCGGCGGGCTGGGCCTGGAGCTGCGCACCTGGCGGCAGGGAGAGCGGGGCGGGATGACGCTGGACCAGGGCCGGCGGCGGGGCGGGGACTGGCGCC